ACAGAGAGGGAGACAGAGGGATAGAGAGTTAGAAACGTCGATGAGAGAGAAACATCGATCAGCTGTCTCCTGCACACCCCCTACTGGGGATGTGCCCACAACCAAGGTACATGCCTTGACTGGAATCGAACCTGGGACCCTTCAGTCTGCAGGCGAACGCTCTATCCACTGAACCAAACTTGTTAGGACAAAATCTGATTTTCTTTTAACAACCCCAGTATTATACATTAACTACCGTTTTTATCATCTTTTTTTTTGTCCACAGTTTATTGAATCAAGGTCTTATGCTGAGTACCACCGAAACAACTCTTGTTCTCCCTCTCCTGCCTGTCCACAGCTGCTTCTATAGAATGTAGGGAGCCAGAAGCCAGTTCTGCTGTCAGCCCTCAGCAGAAAGGAAACCAGATGCCTCCCTTGGCCTTAAGCTTTGCTTTTCTTTTTTAAAGTGGTAGATACATACTTCTTTTAATATATATATATATTTATTTATTTCAAAGAGGAAGGGAGAGGAAAAGAGGGATAGAATCATCAATGATGAGAGAATCATTGTTTGGCTGCCTCCTGCATGCCCCTACTGGGGATCAAGCCCGCAACCCAGGCATGTGCCCTTGGCTGGAATCGAACCTGGGACCCTTGAGTCCATAGGCCATGCTCTATCCACTGAGCCAAACCAGCTAGGGCCCTCGAGCTTTTCTTAATATTGAGAAGCTATCCTGGCACTTGGAGAATTGCAACCTCAAACAGAAACTTGTTTTCTCTTAGAAGAGTTAATAGCCATGGCTAAGCACTCTTAAACATCTAGGTCTTGGATGCTCAGTATGTTTTTGCTGTGTTGAGTTCTTTCAAAACATCTTTCTACTAATTTCTTTAGTAATCAGCATTCAAGGATCTCCCTTTCACAGAATGTAGTAAAACTTTGCCCAGGAGTCTACCAAGGTCAGTGTAGCCACTTTTATGAGCTATGGGCAGGACTGATACCCTCACAAATAGATCAGCTGTTAGAAACATCAGCCCTGATGGAAGCGCCCATTTTTAACCTGGAGAGAGAGCTAGGCAGTTCTTGTCTGCTCAAGGGAGCATTTGGACTGTGGTGCTCTCTTAACTCAAAAGTCTGGATGGTACTTGGCTGTCCCCCCCAGTCATATCTGTGTGTTACTTTTGTTTTTTCATGAAAGGTTGGTCTGTTCCCATAGCCTGGGCAGTTAACTTTTTGTTCCTCTTCTGTAGCCCTGCTGCACTCCATTTACTTTTACTGTAGATCACTTCACAGGGCTTGGCGGAGGTGCTTGGGATTTTCTTTCGGTGGTTTTGTGGGGCCTGTGTTTAGGCCAGCTCACCTACCATGCGGAGGGGTCTGTTTTGGGTTGGAGAGTGATTGTCTTTGCCTTAGGGTTTGAAACCACAGGCCTAAAATACTATTTTGCAATGACATGAGAACCCCAGGAACGGTTATGTCATTAGATTTAAAATGTTAAAAGTGTTTCTCACAAATCAGGTCAAAGGAAAAGCTTATTTTGCCCCCATGACTCCATTCTTTTGGTTTAGAATTTTAGACTAAAAATTAGTGTGTTGAGGTCTTACCTTTGTAATCAGACCATCAAGCATGCATACCTGTTGCTCAGCAGAAAAAGGAAAGGTCTGGACCCAGTGTATTCCAATGTCATGTTGGCTTTACCACTAGTTGTCAAAGTTATGTTTTCAAAAGCAGACTTTACCAGCCATGAATCCAAGAGCATATGCTAGGAATTGGGTACCTCTACTCAATTAATAGTGGCAGATTTGTATTCAGCCACCCATATCCAGCTACACTAATATATATCAGTATTCATTCAACATTTTTTGGCCCAAGTGATACAAAGTTCAAAAAGATGCACTTCAAAGAGCTGTCATGCAGGTGTGGGGTAAACTGACTATAAATAGTTCAGTGTAATAAATGCTTTAAGTGGATACACATTTCTGATTTGGGGGCAGAGACAATGGTTTGTCAGTTTGTAGCCCTAAAGCAGGAGGCTAACGGTTGACATGTGGAAAGGACTGACCTTGCATGAACTGAGTTAACTGGTCACAGACCACAACAAGGGCTTGTTTTATTCCAGAAAATAAAAAGGACTGAAGGTTAGTTAGAAATGCTGTTCTTACTGAGAACCACAGGTGAGTGGGGATTGAGAACCCCAGATTTTGATCCCTAATTTAGGCTCTTTGCCAAAGTAATTAGTGGTCTAGTTAATCCTTATTGTGAAGAGTATTAACTGTGTTGCAGATTCAGTTATGTGTTGCTATGTTACTGTGGGTTCTGTAACATTTATTCCTCATGGACATTTTATCAGTTTCTCACACCCTTTTCATTTTCTCCTTTCTTTTGGAGGAATTAACATGAGGCTGGCTTTAAGCCTAAAACAGGGACATAGTTGACAATGGCAGGAGATTTGCTAAAAAGAAGGCTTGGGACACATCTGTTAACACCTGGGCGTCTACTCTGGCGGTGTAGTTTTATTCAATTCTGCAAGATGGTGATTTCTAAGCAGAGACTTGTCTAAATTATGTGGAAACCCATAAACATACATATTCTGGAATTTTCTATTTAACCAGTTTGGGTGAGGCCTAGCCTTACTCAGTAGCAGTCTGACCTTGAGAAATTGTTTAGTCCTGACCACAAGAAAAAGATACTTTTTTTCTGCCTGAACAATTGAGAATTGGCTACTATTTAGAAGTCAGAATTCCCAAGAATTAGAATAACTCCTGGGAAATTAAAGTGGGAAGGTTTTGGGGATAGCTTCATAAAAACAATTCTAGTTTCTTTTTGCTTGTGCTGGATTTCTTAAATTTTAAACTACCTCATCTTGTATCTTGTCTTTTTAGAGTTACTTCGACTTGTCATTGCCTCTAACATGCTTGACTTTGGCTGTTTTTAAGATGGATTTTTTCCTATTCATTGGCAGCATGCTCTCTCACCTTTTTGTCCCAATCCTCATTTCACTTAACATATTGCTTCTCAGAGAAATGTTTTAAGATCTTGGTTTATGGGAAGAAAGCAATTCTCCAAATGCTCTGTGACTCAGATCAGTAGGAGAAGGAGTTAAAATAAGGAGGTGGCTGAGGGGAGGCGGGACAGAACAGCACTGGAGGCAGCCTACCAGGGAAGAGTCATTAATTAAGACAATTTCAAAGTCAACTGATTGTGATCATTAATGTCACAATAGATCAAAACCTAATTATCACAGCCTAGGTAAGAGCCATCAGTATTAATCAGACAGTCTTAATAGGAAACTATTATCAAGAAATTAGGTCAAATTGAATGCAATGAACTTTTTATCTTGCCATTCTATGTGTTTTGTGTGTATGATATCCCCTGGCATTGGCAGGTGTGACCCTCACCGTTGATCCGGGCCCCAGTGGCCAGTCTGTTACACTTTGAGGAGTTCCAAACACAGACTGAATCTGAACTGTCATTGCCACTGTAATCGGTCTTGAACTTTATCATTTGGATTTGTTTGGTGTGATCAGCAATCAATGAAAAAAGGTTTATATTTAGGTCTTGGAATGGTTGGTCCTTCCCGAAAGTAGAGTAGCCCTGTTGAACATATACTGTGTGTGTTGATAAATCACTCTTTGAGCTTCTGATGTATGTAGAGTCTTGCCACTCTGGCTACTGCAAGGAGGTATGGGTTTAGTATTTGGTTCTAAGCCAAGGCAGGCTGTGGATTTAGTCTAACACCCCACTCCTCACTAGTTTTAGGAAGAGGATCATAATGCTTTCACCAGAACCCACTGTAAATCTAACAGAGTGGGGAAAGTGTTTTTTGCTTTGCTTTTTGTTAAAGTTATTGGCAGGAGGAAGAATATTATTATTATAAGAGTCTTATGACTAGTTATAGAGAATGCATTATCCCCTTTCCCTGAAATGAAAGGTCGGGGGGGGGGGGGGTCACCATTTTTATTCTTAATCTTGAGCTGTTTGTGAAGATGCTGCAGATCCAGAAGTTGAGCTGAGTCTAGAAGGGTTGGTAAGCTTCTGTCTTCTAGGATTGTCTTCTAGAAGCTGCAAGAGGGAGGTTGGTGGTGCTGGGGCTCCTGTACTCCTAGTTCAGCCTGGAGAGGATGTGGCTGCTGTCACCATTACTGTCATCCTTTCCCTGCCAGCCGTGCAGCTCAGAGCACTCCCAAGACCACCGCTGGGGGGGTGGTTCCCTTCCTGGAGGAGTGTGGTCTTGCTTCCTTCTGGATTTTAGGAATTTCGATTACTCAGTGCACAACTTTGGGAAATCAGTGTGACTTAGTCCTTCACCTCATTATTTTAAATGTAGTTTTATTTTCAAAACATCTGTTAACACACGGGTTGCAGAAGCAGTTTGTTTCTCCAAGATTCCTCACATATGCTAGATACATAATAGTCCTCAGTTAATCCACGTGGCTTGCTTGAGTTGACCTAGTTTGCAGAGCAATGTGTACTTAACCGGCTCCCTTTTGCTCCCAAGTGCACTCTAAGAAATCAGATGCTCAGGGGAGAAGAATAAGAATTGAGTGGATGCTGACTACTTGTGCCAACCTCCTTGATTGATTCATAATGGCTGACCTTGGGCAAGTCACTCCTTTCAATGCCTCAGTTCCCCATCTGTCAAATGGGGGTAATAATACTGACCTACCTCACAGGGGTGTTGTGAGGCATTGTAAATCGAAGTTGATAGAATACTTTAGGGTCCTCAGTGGAGGATGCTTTGAACCTAAGTCCAGGCCTGACATAGGCTTTAGTCCTCACTGATTGCCCCAAGGTTGGAGCTCAGAAAGTTTTCTGCCCCCCACCCCTCATCAAAGCTGCTAGTTCAGATGTTGATGATGTTTTTGTGAATGTTGGAGTCTTTATAGTCCAGACTTAGGATGTTTGAGGGGAAGGCACTTAGTATTTTCTGTATCTCGCATCCACAGAGAGGCTGTTTCAGACCCCAGAGCATTGGATTCGGGGATCACCGGGCAGGGGAGCTATTGCTTATTTCTCTCTACAGGTGGGAACTGAGGTCCCGTGCCCCAGCGACTTGGAACAGGCTCGAACTATCTCAGAAGCAAAGGAAAGACGTTGGTTTGATTTATATTGTTGCTTATCACTCCCCGAACTGACCCCCAGACACCTGGGACACTGCAGCCCTTCAGGATACCTGTACCCAAGCCTCCACCTCCCCAAAGAAACCACCTGGTTTGAAAAACAACCACTTCCTCCAGCCCTCACCAAAAAAGAGCCATATTGGGAGATTTTTTCTAGAGGAATGTTTAATACTCGGAATTGGGCATTGATGTGCTTTAGAGCTTCATCCAGTCACTGCGTTCAGCATCACAGTGTCCACAGTGAAACCGACTGGCTTTTTCCTGTAGTTTGGGAGAATCTTGGATACTTTGTATTTGCCCAGGTGTGGGCTCAAGAGCCTTACTCTCCATCTCACGTTAGGGGCTCACCCTGCTCCTCTTCCCAATAGGGCTCTTTCTCCTTTCCCCCTCCTTGGCCCTGGATGTGTAACCCATGAAAAAGCACAAGGTCCTAGCCTCCTGCCGCAGTCACATTCTGGTTCTCCGTGTTCTGTGGGCTCTGCTGCTCTGTCCGCCCGGCACCGGGGGCAGATGCTCTGGAGGACGGAGAGCAAGTCTGACATCCTGCCCAGTAGCCAGGCGTTGATTCACCATGGCCCACAGTCTTCCCACAGATGGGATCTAAGAGACTCAAGAGGCTGGGTTTTAAGCACTGTCCCATCCTGAGGAGCAACACAAATCATACTTTGTAGCCAGATTTCTGAATGGAAAATGGGAAATTGAATTCTCTCTGGACTTTTTGGTTTGTGGGGGGAGTATTGGTTGTGTTTCTCGGTTTTATTTCAGCCAAACATGTCTGCTTTTGATTTTTAATTTTTTTTTTTTTAGAATAAGTGAGATATATATATATATATATGTTCACCTTTTAAATGTAAATGTTCCAAAGTAGGCAATTTATGTGTTTTCACAACTGACATCCAATGCAGACCTCATTCTCTCCCCCTCTTCTACCCTCCTGTTTTCCCTCTTTTCATACTCTTGTATTGATTCTAATAAAATGGTTGCTTTTCAAATATGGATCCCGAGTGGTGGTTTGAAAATCTGGGTCTTACACCCCTTCCGTAATTTGGGTCCTGCAGTGTCAGCCAGTAGCCACACTTGTATTTATGAAAGAGCAATGGTTTTGGAGAACACGGGCTTTTTTCTAAGGGTTGTTGGTCTCTGACTTTCTGCAAATAGCCACAGGGTGGCGCCAGTTGAGGGAATAAGAATGTATCCTGCACCTTACTCTGTTCCCTTCACCAATTCCCGTTCTATGCCTTCCTGGTGTCCTTGCTTGTCTCTGCTCCCAATGGCTCAAAGAATAAACATTACCCTTCAGCAATCCAGGGACTCCTAAAAGAGTCAGCTCCTGGTTAGAATTTGTGGGGAACCATATTGACTAAATCAGATTTGAAAATCCCAAAACGTGTGTTGATAAATATAACTTTTATTATCTTTCTGATTTACTTCATAAATAACCAAGAAACTGTCCTTTCTGAGGACCAAGTGATCAGGCGTATGGTGGGAGTGGGGCAAGTGGAAGTTGGATTAGAGGGGGAAAGAGTATGCAGCTAATCAGTAATGTACTGGGTGCCGAAACCGGTTTGGCTCAGTGGATAGAGCGTCGGCCTGCGGACTAAAGGTCCCAGGTTCAATTCCGGTCAGGGGCATGTACATTGGTTGCAGGCACATCCCCGGTAAGGGGTGTGCGGGAGGCAGCTGGTCGATGTTTCTCTCTCATAGATGTTTCTGGCTCTCTATCCCTCTCTCTTCCTCTCTGTAAAAAATCGATAAAATATATTTTTTTAAAAAGAGAATGTTCTGGGTAAGATAAGTCTGGTGCAGCTGTGATTAATGGAGATGGGCAGAAACTTGCAGAAGACAAAGTGAGGAAGACAGGAGTCTCAGAACCAGACCCCCACTGAGATGACTGCGAAGGGCTGAGCCCTCTTGTTTCCACCATTTCTTACCTGATTCTCCCTTCTTGCTGCTGAGTTATAGGGTCTCCTCGGTCTAATCTCGTAAAGTCTTATGAAGACATCTGTAGACTGGCTGGTTTAATGGTCCATGAACCCATAAACATGGGATAGGAGAGCCATTTGGTCCACTTGAGAGCCAGACCTTCTGGACATAATTTATTTCCTAACTCTGAAGCCTGGGACTGCTTGCCCCTTCCCTTTCCATCTCTCTCCTGTTCTCTCAGGCCACTTTGTCTCTGTCTAGGGCCCATCCGAGACGCCAGGGTTTTGACACCCGCACTGCCACTCCTACTAAACAACGCTGTCTTGGTTTTTGTTTCCCTCCAGTATGTCAGGGCGTCTGCCTGCACGGCACTCATTCAGATGAGCTCTTCATCACTCATCACTTCTCCCAGGAACCTTGCCGCTCCGAGCTCCGGAGAAGCCCAGAGCTGGGCAGTTCTGCCTCCCCTTTGTCACCACCAAAGGGCGGCAGAGCCGGTGAAATCCACGCCGCGCTGACAGCTGGGGAACATGGAGGCTCGCCGTGCGGGAGCTGCGCTTAGCTGGATCACTGAGCACACGGCTTGGAAGCGCCCTGTTAGAGCGAGCAGCCCCGGGCAGCCTCTGCCTTTGTGAGGAGGCGGGAGCTGGGCGGGAGCCCGGTGTTGGCTGCTGCACGGGAGCGTGTGCAGGGGCGCATATCAGCCCGTGGACCTGCCAAGCTGCTCTTCAAACCTTGAGTGTGACCTGGGGCAGAGGGGGGGGGGGGGCGGGCAGACAAGGCAAAAGCTGGAGCCAACTGGTGTGTGAGCCTGCCACGCAGACAGGGGCTCCGCTACTGGAGCGAGGGGAAGGAAAGCAGCCTGCAACCAGAGTGAGAAACCTCGGGAACTCACCTGCCTAAAGTCCCGGCCGGCCTGCTCAGGGCCTGCCCTGCCCTCCGGTCCTTGGCTCCTTTGCCTTTGTTTCCTCCTCCCGCTCTGCTCTCCTGCCTCCCCACCCCCTCTGCTGCTGGAACATCTTGCTTTCCAGGCGCTGGCTCCCTCCTCTCAGCTCCCTCCTCTCAGCTTCTGCATTTGTGCATCTGTATTTTTTTTTTTAATGGTTTCTCCCCTTTGTCTACTATATTCTGTATGTTTTTCTCTTTCTTTGTCTTTTTCCTTCTCATTTCTGGTCTCTCCACCCCATGTTCTTTCTACCCCCTCTCTACTCCCCCCCCCAATTAAATTCCACAAACAGCAGATATTTAATTTCAAATTATTGTCTTTTTGCAACAATCTGGGACTCTTTACGACTCTGTCTACCCCAGGCTACCTCTGGAAACAGGTGCATCCCTTTCTGTATGTAATGCGATGCCCACTCCCAGACCGGGAGAGGCAGTGCCGGCCCAATGGCCTCACGCCTCTTCTCGGCAAAGCCTTGTGTGATCGTTTGGTTGTGAGCCAGGAAGAGAGGAGGAGATGCTGAGAATTGAGTTTGCTGATCAATTGAGGGGCTGCTGAGATGAGAAGGTTTGGGGTTATTGCACCCTCTGCCTTTTCTCTCCCCCTTCCTGTTGCTGCTGTCCTCCGGGGAAGGAAGCGGGTGGGGAGCTGTGGCATTGGCCGCGGCCAAGCAGCTGATGAAAGTCCGCTTCTCCATCCGCAGCGCGGGTGGGGGTGGGGCCGAGGGAGCTCTGCAGCTGGGGGCGGAGGGCAGGTGAGCCAAAGCTGTGCCGTGTAAGAATGGGATGGACCATTCCGTCACGCTTTTTCCAATAGCAAGCAGCACCTCCCTGTGCAGCCGGCTTCGCCGCTTTATGTTTCAGTGATTCCTGACACCAGCCAGGGCGGCCAGCTCCCAGAGAACCGGCCTGGCTGTGCGCCTTTGTCCTCTGTCCCCTTTCTCTCCGGCTCCTGCTTCACCGCTCCTATTGTTTCTGCAGGAGCCAGAGGGAGGAGGGATGGAGCTGCTCGGTGCTACCTGGAGAGTGCAGGCGCGTCTCTCCCAGGACACAGAGGATGCACCCTCTCTCTGTTTTCTCTACACTTTTTTTTTTTAATCCTCACCCCATGATATTATTTAGAGAGAGGGGAAGGGAGGGAGGAGGGAGAGAAAGAGAAACAGATGGGAGAAAGATACATACTAGTACATCAGCTGCCTCCTGCCCAAGCCCTGGATGGGACGGTACTGCCCTTGCCCGGGAATAGAACCCACCATTACTTCTGTCTGTGGACTGAAGTTCTAACCACTGAGAAAACCGGCTAGGGCTCTTTACCCTTTTATTTTTTTTTAAACTTGCAATAATTTTTTTTATTGATATAAATGAAAGGAGTGGGAGAGATAGGAACATCAGTGATGAGAGAAAATCATTGGTCGGCTGCCTCCTGCACACCCGCTACTGGGGATTGAGCCCACAACATGAGCACATACCCTGACCCAGAACGGCACTGTGGCCTCCTGGTTCACAGCGTTACAGAATTTACACAGGAGTACTCGGAGACACAGGAAAACCCCATTTGTTTCCAGATGTACCAGTACTGTGACTCAGGGGTCCTTCCCAATCCTGAGCAAGCCAATATGGAGGAAGCTTTCTCTTTATGCCCATTGGTCTCTTTGTCCCCCAAATATGGATCAGACTTCCCGACCTTTCCAGGGCTTTGGGAAAAGCCCTGTGTGTTGGGATGGGGGACATGGGACCACACCTAAAGGCCTGGCCTGGCGCCAGCGCTGATAACCCCCTGTGGGGTTGTGTATGGTTCATGGTTTATGGCCTCTGTAAAATGGGAGTATTTAGGTAAACAGGTCTTGCCAGACCAGATAGTTAAGGAAGGGCAGTGACTTGATTATAGGCTAACAGGAATGTGCAACAGGGATTCTGATGAACTAGATACAGAGTCAGGCTGCTACCCTCCCTACCCCTGCCCCCAAATGTCTTATTTTCCTCATCAACCACTGTGCCACACTGGCCAATTGTAAAAATTCTGTTACAAATTTTTAAGATAACTTGAGGATTTTATAACCCTTCTTAAAATGACTGGAGACATTTGGGGTGTTGTAAGAAGGCTGTAAATCACTGTTCTTCAGTGTCCAGCTAAACCAGTTAGATCCTTA